ATGATGTAAACTTGTTTTTTAAAAGGCATCTTTGGTTTGCGTTACAACTTCAACTTCAACACATGCAATGTTCTGATTGCACCACAAACGCAGTAGTCATCCTTACCTTTCACAGAGGCACTGAGTTTTATAAATAGGTGCATGATAGTGTAGAATAATCATATCCAAGGACCAATGGTGGGTTTCAAAAAAATTTGGAATCTCTTCTGTAGGTGTGGCCTGCTTTCCGGGTCCACTGGTGGAACCTCTTCTAACCGGTTCGGTAGTTTTGACGAACCGGTTCTACCGAATAGGTGCAAACTGGTAGGAACCCACCTCTGCTCCTGGCCTATGAGATACGTAAGAGAATCTAGATATCCAGCTCTGCAGAAGGATAGCCTAAGACAGTGTTTCTCAACCTTGGTGACTTTAAGTCCTATGGGCTTCAACTCCCAGAATCCCCCAGCCAGCATAGCTGGCTGGGGAATTCTGGGAGTTGAAGTCCACAGGACTTAAAGTCACAAGGTTGAGAAACACTGGCCTAAGAAATGCAGGCAAAGACAACCAATTGGGATTCCAGATAGCCTGCTGGTCTTGAGTTTGAGTTCTGCATGACAAGGATACAAATGAGGTCAAATCAGATGGACGCTTTGGTGGAAGTGAAGCAGGGGAGGGCCCCAACATGGAAGCTCTAAAAGAGGGTTGTAAGAACCTGTAGTTCAGCAAAAGTTGGACCACAACTACTGCTATTACCACCAGCTAGGCTGAATTTAGCTGATGGGAAGCTCCCCAAATGCAAGAACCACGCGTTCTCCGTGCCTGCATTAACCTCTTGCCCATTTTTCAGAAGCGCCGTTTTTATTAATTTAACTCGCTTATTTATTGATGAAACTGATGCATTGCCTGAATCCAATCTGAGCTTCGTGCTAAGGGTTTCTAAGGATTCCCAAGAAGCTTGTTAAAGAGCCTTTCTGTTCAATCAGGTAACATCCAAATGATGAGCAAGAGAAATATCAGAAAAGTCAAGGGGCTGAGTAGCTCTTCTATTAAAAGGCATTTTATAGCATACAAAATAAATTCATTTAATTATTAATAATCCCAGCATTGTTTCTCTGGCAACGTGAAGCAGAGTCTCTGCTCTTTTGATGTCTCCTTTTTACTGCTGACATTTGTAGTTTCGTTACCACGCTTTGGGTTCTAATTCAGCTTATGCCCTTCTTTTTTCCATTTAAATGCCTGTCATGTCTTGATAGTTATTGATGTCAAAGAAGGAATTTGAATTATTTAAGGTAGGGTGTTTTTTTCCCCCCCTTTTCATCCAAACTGTCCCTATTCAATTTCCCCAAATTTCTTTTTGGGTGTGTAAAGTGATTTCCGCTTGCACTTTGCATGGGTGTGAGTTGCTGGCTTTTCTATTGGTGTGGAATTCTCTACAAAGGAATGTAGAATTTTTGATCTTTTGAATCAAAGGTTCGTAATAATATGCAGCTTTTGAGTACCATCAAAAGGCGCATATTATGACCAGTTTTTTTTTTTTTTAATTCTTTGGTGTGTTGAAATGAAGTGGCAGAATATTCTGAACCGAAGTAAATCATCACTATTAGAACAGAAAGAGGGACTGTATGAATTCAGGTCAGTTCCAACTTTTGAGTCAGTTGAAAGATCAGTCCTTTTTAAATGTTCAGATCAATTAGCAAAATCAAGCTGGTTTTACTGGAACACCAGAGCTGGTTTGGTGAGGCCTTGATTTGGCCTTTTAAAATAGTATCTGTGCAGAGAAGGAGGATGGCTGAGGCATTGGGCTTTTTTGAAAAAATGGCTTTTATTGCTTTATTGCAGGGGTGTTAAACTCATGTTGTCATGGTGGCTAAAGCAGGTGTGGGCGTAGCCAGTGGTGGGATTCAAATAATTTAGCAACCGGTTCTCTGCCTTAATAACCAGCTGGGTAGGCGTGGCTCAGTGGTCATGTGACTGGGTGGGCGAGGCCAACTCAACATCGCTCACATCAATGGGTGATTTTGCCTTAGCTGTTACAATGTAGCAAGGGTTAAAGAGGCAGTTTCTGTAAGCAGAGCCATAAAGATTAGGCTAGAAACAACACTAGAATGTTTCCTTCCTGCCTTCCTTACAGGATTAGCCCTGTAAAGTGGGAAAAACAAACAAAAGGAGATTTATTCCAACAACTAGTTCTCCGAACTGCTTAGAAAGTTAACAACTGGTTCTCCCGGGTAGGTGTGAACTGGCTGAATCCCACCACTGATTAGAACATAGAATCAATAGGACAGAAGGTACCCCAAGGGT